GAAAAAAAGAACACATGAGGAATGTGATGTCTTACGCAAGAGGTTCCAACATCGCTAAACACGCTTGGTCTTCAAATCACTCTATTGACTTTAAAAATTCCCAAGTGTTTGATAAGGGCTCTTCACATATTCGTAAGATGTTAGAATCATGGCACACTGTTTCGACAGATCATGCAGATAACAATTCAAGGCTGTTTCCCAATCAATACTCCATTCTTTTAAAAAAGAACAATTAGTTCATTAACACTTATATTTTTCCATTTTAATATATTCTTTTTATAGTTCCACCTATTTTTGTATATATTTGTAGTTGTTATCTTTTCCATTTTTTATCCATTGAAGGCTGTAGTATGACAGCCGAAAGCTCTGAAAGTTTTAACTTTATATAGCCAGTGAACGTTTTTTATAAATTTTTAATAATAAAATAATGTGTTTAGGTCATTTCTTTGCCAATATCAAGCAATTTTTGTAATGGAAAGATTCACCTCACCATACCTCGCCTCTTCAAGCTCTTTTGCATAAATACATGGTCTTTACCCTCCTCTGCCATCTAAGTTTGTCTGCTGCTTGCAGTTGAGCCTCGGCTCATCACTTTCAGCTGGCTACATTCTTTTCTTCTTTTGGGTCTGCCCATCTTCCTTTTTCCTTTGGGTGTTTAAGACAGAGGAGTGATACAATGATGTTGTTGGGCATCCTGAGTACATGTTCTATTGAGATAAAAAGGTTGTGTGACTATAGTTTGAATTATTGACCATATTTTAGAAAGACTCTGTGATAAGAGTGATATCGTTATTAATTTTAGAACATAGTGTATTATTTTAAATATTGTTAGCTTACTCTTCTATTTTCAAAAAAATGCATTCAAAATTAATCATGAGGTATTTTTATTTTGGGCTAGATTCTAATGAGCTGAGGCGTAAACTTGCTCAAGGTGAAGAAGAGCAGGCAGACAAAATCAGAGAATTTAATGAAGAGGTACAGTTACTAGTGATTATATGTAAACATGGATACATGTATATGAGGGAAGGAAACAAAAACTCTTCTACTTATGAGCAAAGAGAGGAGATAGGGCTCTGGGAGAAAAATTGGCCACATGCTGTCCAGTACACTGTTAAGCCAGATTATGTTGGAGTATGCCTAGAATTAATAAATATTTGTTTTTATTAACTTACCATCACAGCAAGTACATGTAGCAACTGTAAATCACTGCTTGCAAACAAATACCAAGATAGAGAAGGATCATGTTTGGGTACCTTGTGGTACAAAGTAAGTCTATATTACAAGAACTAGAGGTCTCCATGAAATAATTTGTTGTAGATTATGGGGCTACAAGGTCAAGTGGCCAAACTCCGATCCACTGTGGAGAAGGGAGAGGCAAACAGACAGAAGCTGGAGTATGATCTTACCATCGCAAACAGAGTAGCCAATCAGGAAAAGAGAGCAGCAGCAGAGAGGGAGAGTGCTCTTCAGAAGACAAATGCTAGTCTCAAAGGTATGCTGCACAAATGTTTACTTGTTAACCAAATATTTATTTTTTCAACACAGTAAACTGTGAATCTTAAAAGAGTGATAAGAGTGATGATGTACATGTACTGTAATTAAAGCACTGTTATGCCACATCATGCATTGAACATGTGTGCCAAGAAAGAAATGTAAACAAGTAAAGGGCTGGTACTGGTTACATTTAGTTTGACTTCAGTTTACACTCTTAACTGATTGCAAAAAATGAACAAAAGATCAATGTGGGAAGTTTAAGTTTTCCTGAATTTTTTACCTTCACATCAATGAATCCTGCCATATTTCTGAAAACTTGCACTACTCTATTGCCAGGGATTTATACATGTAAATGTGTTAAATGGGCACATGTGCAGTAGTCCACGGATTGGTTAGCTGGGCTGTCGCCAAGTGCTGGCTGCCGGCGATAATTCGCCGGCTGAGAAAGAGGTCATTGCTGGCTGGATTTTGGGGGACGATCACACAGTAAAGGATAACAAACAGTTTTTAGGTTACGCACATACAATAATTTGATATCTAAACCATATCGCACCGTCTAAATGTTTGGAAAAAATTCCTGACTACCATGAGTATCGCTGCCTCTATAACTGGTAAATTGAAATAAAATCTTGTTTTGAGCACTTGGTTAGGGTGGTCTCTTTCTGTGTACTGCATCCGCCATATTGTAAACGTGAAGCTTGGTAGCTCCGCATTCAAGGCATTGTGAAAGATTGAGGACAAAAGTTTTGTTCCAGGTGTCTCACGAAAAATTGTGACCGGCCCAATGAAAATCTTAATGGGGAGACTAAAGCTACAATCCTGGGTTAAAAAAAGCAGCCAGGATTGTGGGACTGTGTGGTTTTGGATTACAATTATAATGCATACCAAATGGTTTTTCCTTTCACATGTACAAAAACAAAGAAAACATCACTCAGCTCAAGAAACAGTTACAAAATGTTGAGGAAGCTTTGGAAGCAACAAGGCAATCCAGCAAGAATGAAGAACACAAGTCTAATCAACTACTTGCAGAAAAGGTACAACGTACATGTATTGTCATGTTCATTATTGTAGTGCTGTTTATTAGTTGCCTATGCTGCTGCAATGTAAAATGGTGGTTTTCTTTTATGAGATTGGTTAAAGAGATTCTTGAACATTTTCTCAGTAATATATTGTAAAAACATATCTGGTATTTACCATATGGTAGTAGATTTTTCCCTGAGGACTATATTTTGTACTGTGATGATCACTTTACTCTCAAGATTAATTTGCACGAAAGTTTTCTTTACAAAATCGTTCAGTACAAAAACTTTGAAATTGTGCAGCCAGAAAATGTTTTTTATATATGTACACGGTGAATGATGAAGTGAGGCAGTTAACAAATTTTACTACAGTAGTGTCTCTGGGAATGTTAATAATACTTACAGTGTATATAGCTCTGCAGGAGTGGAGGGTGACTGTCTATGAGATAAGTGAGATTATGTACATGAAGCAAAAGAAAATGTGGAAGCTACATTGTCAACATTTCTGTGGCATTTGTGCAGGAAAATATGATTCTCCAACTCACAAACCAACTCCAAATTGAGGGAGAAGAAAAAAGGAAGCTGCATGTTGTGATTGAGGAACAAGAGAGGTGAAAATTTTTTACATCAATAAATATTTTTTGTTCTGTAATGGTTCAGACCATAATGTTACATTGTATTTTCATTGCTTATGTGATCAGTTAACAGAGAAACTGCATGGTGTTGATATTTGATATCTTAATCCACAGTTTGTATGCTGAGCTGCAAGAAAAGTGTTCTTCCCTTGAAAGTAAGTTAATGTGCAGTTCATGAACAAGTAAATAGGTAGTTCTCTATTTGTACCAGAGGTATTGATGGCTGGGTGTACAGCTGTATTGAGGCACAAACAACACTGATGGTATCTTGACTCATAGGTCAGCGATTACAGTGAGGGGAGGGGAGGGGAGGTGACACGGGGCTGGAAACAGCAGGAAATGCGTCGCAAGAAATGACATGCTTCCCTGGCAATGCATTCATAGACCTCAGATTGCTAAACATTCAATAATTGAATTATTTCAAGATTAAACTGTACTTGTTATTTCTTCTTAATGAAATAAAATATAATTATGAATAATAGTGTTTTTAATATCTAAGTTTACAATTTTTTCAGCCCAAAGATCAAGTCAAGGGGAGACTTTACAAAAGCAGCAAAGAGACTTGGAGTTCTATTCTGAGAAGGAAGAAAGATTAAAGAAAGAAATTGAGGTATCTTTGCTCTGAAACGTATGGGTAAAAACTGAATAATACATTTGAAGCTTTGTTGATCAACAACTCTCTTATGCAAATAATGTTTGTATCAATTTAAGACATTCATATACTGATCTTTGAGGAAAAGTCACATTCAACATGGCGAAAATGTTAGCATCACAGATCAAACTTTTGTACTCTCTAATGGATGAGAGATCATCATCATCCTCATGCAACAATATAAATATAGTTAAATGAAATTTAACATAGTTAATGACTAGGAGCTAGTCTTGTCTGTAGCGTTTTTATAGGCGGTTGTTAGTGTCTCGGCCGTCTGTGAGTGTTTGGTTAGCGTTTGGTGTGTTCTGTAGCGTTTGATATAGTTCAATGAAATTTTTACATAGTTTATGACCAGGAGCAAGTCTGTTCAGTAGCGTTTTTGTAGGCGTTTGTTAGTGCCTTGGCCATCTGTTAGCGTTTGTTTAGTGTTTTGTGTGTTCTGTAGCGTTTGCAACAGTCATATGGTCATGAGAGCCCTGGGGCTGACATTGTCCAGCGGTATTTTTGGTTAGTACATGTGTTGTTGTCCCGTGTGCTCGCAGTGTGTTCATCGCTCTGTTAGTGTGGCGTTNGCGGGTTGGGCAGGCCAGTCGGGTGTTCTAGCGCCTTGGGGATGTGACTGTGGTTGCAGCCCCCGGGCTTTGTAGGCACCTTCCCTCCACTAGCGACTTGGGCGTTAATGATTAATAATAATAATATTAGATTTATATAGTGCTAAAATTATAGAATACTCTGAAGCGCTTTACAATGTAAGATTTTACAGTAAAAATATAAGAAAAATGTGTCTAAAAATAACAACTCTTAATACATGATGTATGACAAGACTTTGTTTTCCATGAATGAAAATATTATTTATGAATTAAAATGAACTAAAGAAGAGCAAAATATGTTTCTTAGATTTTTTCTCAGACAGACTAGGCTTTCTGTTTTTAATGTAAAACTGAAATCATCTTTCAAGCCTCATTCGTTTTTGAATGTAAAACTACACCTCATATTTTCTATCCAACAACACAATAAACACTTGTCAATCACTGAAACTGGAAACTGTGCAGGAAAAGTGTCAGGCACCTGGCAAATAGCTTCCTGTACAGTTAATTGAGTCTTCTGAACTCAAAGCCCAACATCAAAAACTGGCCACGGCACAAGACCTCTCCTTCAAAAACCTCTCTCAAGACACAACTCTTCCAGTTGATATTAACCCACCTAACCCAGGGTTAATGCTAGTGAGTAATAATTATCCACTTGCTCTAATTATCTGTCAACTGTCATTTCCTTTCTAGCAATATCAAGAACGCATTAAGTCACTAGAGGAAAGCATTGAAGCAGAGAGGGCTGCGCACTTAGAGACGAAGTTTAACTCAGAGATCATTCAGGTGGGCATAACACTGTATATGATTTATTTGTTACTTCTGTGGGGATTTACTCTGTGCGTGATCAATTGACTGGTGCTTCCCTTGGACACACCATGTGTAACTTACACATTTTCAGTCAAATATAGTTGATTTGCAGTCTCAGACTTGGTTCAGGGTATTAATTAGTCAACACTTAGTCAATATGTTGTATTGGCCTATGTAGGATCACTTTTGAGAGAAAGCAATAACTTAACAGGCTTTGGATGTTTATGTATTCAAGACTGAGAAAAAACAGCTTGGACATGTTCTCTGTCCTCATTCCTCTTTAACTAAATATGTAGATCTCAATAATTTGAGTACTTTGTTGCAAGTTTAGTTGGGGCTTGAGAAAAAGACTAATTGCTGGCTGGTTGTTAGGGACAAGCAGATTTTTTTGCTGTTTTGAGAGCTACTTGTCCAAAGGGCAAGTTGGAATTCAATTCTGTTTTAGCTTTTTTATTAATACTGATGAAATTATATGAACATATTTTTATTAATATTGTGTGTGAGGTGTGGCAGCCTAAGGGTTAGTGCCCTGGACTTTGGATTCAGCGACAAGGGTCGCGGTCCTGCTTAGAAGATCTCTTTGTTGTGTTATTGGATAGCCTGCCAGCAGGCTTTTTGTGGGCTCAGGCTCTTTTCGGGGAGGGTCTTCTTCCCTTTCACCCCTCCTTAATTTTTTTTTTTGTGAAGAGCCTGCTCACAGGCTAGTTACTGGTCAAGATATGGACTCTCACAGTTCCTTTCTTCCAAGGAGTATAAACAGGTTCCCGCAAATTGTTGGGACAATCTCTCATAATGCTGGGGAGTTTGGCAGTAAAATTACCAACATTCCCTCTAGAGTAGCAACAATACCTGTGGATGGATCATGATACAGAATCTAGAGTTAAATGTCAGAGCTTATGAGCCAGACTTCTTTCTTCTTTACTGAGACTAATATTTTTTACTGACTAATTTATTTACTGCTAATAATAAATCTATTTCACTGGAATAATAATAATAATAACAATAACAATAACAATAACAATAGCAATAGCAATAGTAATAGTAACAATAAATTAATTACTGATATTGTAACTTTTAATATGCAATGATCAAAGGTGCATTACATCATAAATTCTGAAAATTATGTCAAATTTTTAAAGCTAGTTTAAAAAGGTTCGTTTTGGGTGAGGATTTAAACTGTTGAACTGTCTTTGATTTCCTTAACGAGATGGGTGAGGCATTCTACAATGTGGGAGCAGCAACAGTGAAAGATCTGTCTCCAAAAGATGTCAACATCTTCCCATGAGGGAAATCAAGTAGTAAACCATCATTTAATCGCAGCTGATAGATGGATTGTTTTGTAACTGAAATTACATTACTGATACACAGGGGTGACTGACCAAGGAAAGGTTTAAAAACGACTAATATATAATTAACATGCAAACCATATTTATTTTTTGCAGTTAAGGGTAAGAGATCTTGAAGGTGCCTTGGAGGTTGAAAAATCAGCAGTAGATGAAGCTAAACACAACTTAGACACACTGACAAAACAGCACAGGTTTGTAATGAGGAATTATAACTCTGCCACTCTTCTTTCTTGCATTTCATACTTGTAATATAATGGTGCTCTTTGATCAAATTTATTAAATTATCTGACCTTATGTAACAGCAATCACTCGATGAGTCTAGGAGAGCTCAATAGTCAAGTGTAAACCCTCACTTCTAGCATGGTTTTAGATTTAAACTCTTGCATTTTGCTAGACCGATCCCCATGTTTGCATCAGGCTATGTAAAAACACGTATGTATTACTTTGAAAAACCACTGTGGAATGGGCTCGTGTTTTTGTATAGCGACCACTCCCACTTTCTTTTGCTGACCAGCCCACATTTCTTTGTGCTGTTGTGAGTTGACTGTCAGCGAACTGTAGTGATGGATTCAAGATTCAATTCAAGCTTAAGGTGGGGAAATGGAATGAAGAAGGTAGAAACATTTTTTTTTTAATGAATGGAGGTAAAGACACTCAACTTTGTCTTTCTTTGCTTCCAGTCAGCTCACAACAATACGAAGGAATGTGGCTGGGTCAGCACAATAAAGTGGGAATGGTTGCTGTACAAAATTTTGAGCCCATTCCATGGTTCGGTGATTTTCATAGTATCTATCTATTTCAAACTGCACAATTTTCTTCTCTTCAGGGAGCTTGAAACAGCTTTTGAAGAAGAAAGAGACACCTGTAAAGCAGAGAAATCAAAAGTGGCTAGTTTAGAGGAGAGTCTCTCTACAGAAAGAAAGAAATTACAGGAAGAAATAGATGAAAAACTGAAGATCATCACGGACTTGTCTAAACAACTGGAAGTACATCAGAAGAACTTTGATGCCTTGAAAAGTGAACTCGGCCAGGTAAAATGTACATATTTGTAATCTGTAATTTGCCAATTTTTAAACCCCACCCTTGCCCCCTAAAAGATATATATATTTTTTGTTTTCAGGGACTACATATATCTCTCTCCTTCTCAAGGGGGCAGAGGCTTTTAGGTCCAGTCCTAAACCCTTTTTCACGGGAAAAAAACAGGATTAAATAGAGCTTTCATTTACAACGTATAGACAAGAACTGGCTATTAAGTAATGTCTCTGTTTGCAGGGGCTTGGCATGTGGGGTTGGGGGGGGGTTGGTGTGCAGAGCTTTACTCAGACCAGTTTATCTGCATTCGCCTTTTTAACTTTTCATTCACTGGTTTTGGTTTAACCAAGTTGGACGTGTAATACATCTTTTACAGGCGAAGAAACGGCAAATTCAGCTGGACACAACCTATGGAAGTAGCATGCGTGAGCTTGAACTGCTCCTGGACAATTTTCAGATTGAAAAACCAGCGGAACACAAACGACAAGGTGAGCCTTCATGAATGCTCATATAAGGAACTGATCGCATTCAGAAGCACTGTATGAACGAATGGCGAAATCTGAGATGCAAGATCCTTAGTTGAAACTGGGTTGAGACTGAGACTTAAATGACATGAACATGAAAATAAAGTTATTCACTATTTCTTGCAGGTCACAAGAAAGAGAAACAGAAGGCTCTGTCACCAGCTGCCGTGTTGGAGAATCTGCGTCACACACTGGTTGATTATCAGAACAGATGCTCTAATGCCTCAGTTGAGGTCGGTGTCGAACTTATCAAACTTCATGCACTGTCTTTTAAACTATTACATAGAAAGTCTTGGAAAATTTGTTGCCACTTTGTGATCTTCTCTGTTCATTCTAGATGAAAGTCGCACGTGCTTAGTGTTTCGCTTGCTATTAGAGAAACTGACATCAAATTTACAACACTCTAGAATCGTAAGGATTTTGTTGCAAGTGGAAGGAAAACAGTCAGCAAATTGTCAAATCGTAATCGTAATTAGCAAGATTTGGTATTTCAGTTAGGAATTACACTGCTTCAACTCGAATCTCTTCCTCCTCTTGTAGCCTGTTCCAATTTGAGAGCGACTTGGGGAGGTAGCTGAATTTCAGGCTTAGATAATGTGTTATTTTTGCTTCTGATACTCTTAGTTAAAAAGGATGAGAGAGGTTGTGGAGAAACTGTCAGCGGACTGTGAACATTACAGAGAAATGGTGACCAGCAGAGAAAAGGCTATGAAAGTAAGAACATAGTGATGAGATTTATTTAGAAAAACTGAGGAAATTATTGAAAAAAGGGTATTCGAGGAGATGAGTTTTTTTTACAATTGGGAAAAAATACCAAAATGATAGTCTACATGGTAAAACAGGCTGATTCTAACACAACGTAGTTTTACTGCCATTAAGGAAGCCCTTCACGTAGGAGACGTTTTGAGTGTTAGTCCATCAAATTATTTTGTCCAAGAAAATCTTGGCTCAACCGGATTGACCAACTTGGTCTTCGCTAATAACCTATGTTTTTCTGTGCGTGTTTTTGCCAGGAGGCGGAGAACGCGGTGGCCTCTAAAGTTAAAGAGCTTGCCAAGTCACGCACTGAATGCGCAGAGAAGGAAGCCACAATAGCAGCCATGAAGATTGACATACAAACATTGAACAAGGCCATAGAAGACGCCAAAAACAAAGTTCAAAACTCAGAGGAAGAGGTACGTCGATTGCAAGTTACAAGTCTCTCTTATCAGCTATATTCCTTATCTGAATGCAAAGGCGTAGTCTGTTCGCTTAGACCCTCTATTTTGCCTTGAGTTCGTCGAGATCACAAGCTTAGCCATAACAAAAGGGGGTGGGGCTGGGGAAAGACGCTCTCGCGCTCTGCGCTCGTATCGTTAGAGCTCTCGAAGAAAAATAACTCGTAGCAAAAAGATAAACGTCCGTGGACAGACTAATAAAAGCGTGAAATGTCAAACGTTTGCATTTACAAATGAATAAATCAATAATGGTACCTATTATTTTGTTCCTTTTAGAACATTAAAGTGAAGAGCGTCTTAAATCGTGAAGATGAGGTAGGACTAACTGATTGTTCAGTTCATGTTTCCTAGGAGACATGTTTCTTCAGCGAAGCTCTTCTTTGCGAGCCCTAACTTACTCTACTGCTGTATCTTTATGTATTGTAACTCATGCTCTGGCTGACGGTCAGAGGGAGGGGTAGGAAAGGTTACAGCCTTTAAAGGGGTTGGGCAAAGAAGATTACTCTAATATGATAGATCAGAGGTTTCTGAGCATACTGTAACATTATTAATCCAACAAGCAAGCCACTGTATTGGGGGTTTAGAATCAGCGAGAATGTTTAGAACGTCACGGGCTCATATTGATGTTACTTGGGAAAGCAGCAGGGGGTTATTATGGAAGGGCGTTGCGTTGACGACTAGTTTGAAATTTTGTTTTGTTCCTTTTGACTGGGTGGGGCTATACAGGTCAACAAAAGCACCATTCCCCACTCAACTGTTACGTAATAGTGCATTATTGTCCTCTACTTTGTGAAACACGTGTCCGGTGTCGCCATTGATCACTGCTAAAATTAAACGTAGGATTTTCTGGTTCTTTCAGACTCATCGCATGTTCCTGCATTCCCTGTACCAGCGGATGATCACCGGACAGGTGTATGTCTCGTCACCAGACTCCTCCGCTCTGTCCAGATATTCCTGGTCAGACATGTGTAACCTGGTGTCAGAGCAACTGTCAGCTCAACTCAGCGAGCTAAACAGAGCTAACGAGAGGGTAAGTCACTCATACTTACTGACCTTGCAATTTTAAGTTTCATGTTTGACCATGAGGTATAAGGTAAGGCTTCCGTTTACGTAGTTGATTTTTGTTGTGTATGTTTTCCTAGAAAGATACCGACGTGAATATTTAACTTAGTCTGATCAGAAGTTTTGTGTATCGCACATAGTGATCGTACAGTCTGCAAAAACGATGTGAGGTGCTTGATACAGTCGTCCATACCAGCTTCAAACATTCGTTTCCCAAACACTTTTTCCATTTCAGATTCAGCACCTTGAGAGCGTGTTGTTGAGCAAAGAGGAGTCACTTCGGCATGCACAGGAGGCACACGAACAAACAGTGACCAAAGTAAGACTGATCATGCTGTTAAATGTTCAGCACACCACAAGCTACTGTAAGCTGTTGATAGGACAAGTAACTTAGGCTACGTCCACTCTACGCTGGGTGGAGGAATTTGAAAACGCAGCTTTATTTCTACGGTTAGGCCTACCGTCCAGACTAATCCGTCACGAAAACAGAGCTTTACGAAAACGCTCATCAAACCGGAGGAATTTGAAAACGCCGGTTTTTCGTTTTCATGTGGACAGAAAGCATTTCGAAAACGAAGGTTTTTCAAAACGATGACCTCACGATGATCATGTGATTTCCTTGCCCGATTTTTTTTTTTTTTCAAATACAAATCCAAAATCACCGGTGATTGTGGCGTTTTTAAATTCCTCCGGTATAGAGCGGACGGAAAACATTTGATTCGTTTTCAGAGTGAAACCTCCGTTTTCAAATTCCTTCGGCGTAGTATGGGCCTAAGACACAGTTGAACAACTCTATCTTTCGTTATGTATACGTACAGTTGTAGTAAAGGCTCGCACGGTCGCCCACGATAAATACAAGATAAACACATAATTAAGAACGGAGGTAGGTTAACATCATAAAACCACTAATGATAAACCTTAGCTTGATTTTAAACGATGTTTTCTTAGTTTTAAAGCATGTTATTTGCTTAAATACCTGACTAAGTAATTCTTTGTTTCTTCACGTACTCTGTTCGCAAATGCATCAAGCTTAAATTTCGTTTCCTCTCGTCTGTTTGCATTTACTTCTCCATCTACGAAATTCCGAAGAAGGAAGCCGAGTTTCGCGTATTAGAAGGTTCGAGATGTTAAAGTTTCTGTAAAAATTGCCCAATACGTCGGATAGATAATAAAACATTCGCTTTACTGACCTTGTTTGTCTCCTTGGCGTCGCAGTCTTTCTATTTTTTGACGTAAACAACTCAAGGCACGTGCAGTGACCGCCGCAATACTCGAATGTTATTGGTTAGCACTAAAGGGCGGGAATTCTTTACCGAGTATCCAGCACAAGTGTCAACGCCTCAATCGAAGCTTAAGTTAACTGTAAACGAAATCTACAGCGCACTTTTAAACGACGAATAAAAAGTGATTGACAGTTGAGGATGGCTGAGAATTTGCTTTTAGTAATGCCAGCCTTCAGAAGCAGCCAGTTTTCTTCTGCTTTTGTTTTACACCGCCGAAACTGCGTGTCCTGGGCCGGGTTGTTCGAAAGGATTAAAAGTAAATTAAAAGTAAACCGAAGTAAACCGAAGTATTGATTTTTCTTGTCTCAAAATGTTTCATTGCTTATGCTCTGTGCAGTTTGAGGTTATTAAAACTCAAAACTAAAGGGTAAGCAATGTAAACATGAAACCTCATCCAAAAGTTGCAAAACTGGAATAAAAGTTCTTGCGAATCGTAGGTTAGCCTAATCGGGCTTTGAACAACCCAGCCCTGTTGGAAATCCGATTAATCTTTAAACCAGGCTTGAAGTCAATTGAGTTATTTTATCTGGTGTGAAAGTGCTAAGATCTCACATCTTGTTTTAAATCCCCAGCTCTCTACGGCCATCAAAGACCGCGAAGTTTCGTGGAAGAAACAAAAGAGTGAGATAGAGGAACATTACAGTAACCTGATCAAAGATCTCCATACCAGAACCCAGGTATCACTAGTGCTTTGTGCTTTTCTTCTAAGATGTTCAGGGCCCTTCATAGCTTAAACAAAAAGCGAGACAGAGATGATAGTAGGAACTTATTGACTGAGTGAGAGGGCCGGACGTACGGACCGAGCGCAGCGAGGTCCGTGCGTCCTGACAGAGAGCCGAATATTTTCCGTCCGGCTGTCTTCACTCAGTCGATAGGCATTTTATGACCCTTCTGTGGCTGGCTTTGATAAAGTTGTGAACTTCTTAATTTTTGTGAGAAGTGTTGACTTTATTCCTTAGCTTCCGGAGTAAGTTGGCAACTGAAGTAGTTCTACATCGGATAATGTCAAAACTGACATTTTCAAACTTAAAGGTGACGAGAATTAACGAAATCATTGAGCTGGGGGTTTGTTTATTGTGCCGCCCTTTTTTGCAGGACAAGAATTCTTAGTTTCAGCTTTAAGCGATTTTCTTTCTTTCAGAAAACACAGTCTTTGGCTGACCAAGCGTGGGAAAGGGTTCAAGAAACAGGACAAGTCAAAGATACGCTGGAAATGGAAAACGCTCGACTTCAATTATCGTTGGAACAAAGTCAAAGAAGCGAGTCGTCGTTGTTAACTGTTTGCGCACTGCTCGCAGGCGCCTTATGGCCTGCGTTTGGACGAATACGAGCTTTAGCCTCTCAACGGAAGATTTTATCCGAATATTCAAGAACTTTAGAATCTCTCCGGGATCAGTCGAACACTTTAGGCGAAATGCTAAGTAACGAAATGGAAGGTGAGAAGCGGGAAAAGGATGAATCCCGCACGGCCAAGAAGCAACTTCTGAGGGACGGGCGGAGTCCTGTCTTAGTGTTCAGAGTCGGTGTTATAGCCGTTATTGCAGCTAACAGACTGCGTTATTTTGGATCTTGTAGTTTAAAATTATTCGTGTCGTCCGAGTCTCCGGGTGAGTTTAGCGGAATGTCCACTGTGTGCTGCGGAAAAACATCCAAGAAGACGGCAGACTTTAAGGGTGAGTGATAACTGTTGATATCAGACTTACTACAAGTGACAACACGTCACGCTTTATGGTGATTCTCTACTGTCTTAAATACAATTACAACCTTGAAAAAAGAAATGCTGATGAAAAATTCATCGAATTTAGGGGGAACGTTTTTTCCACATATTACGTTTCTAACTTAATCTAGTTTTCTGTCGTACGTAACTTCTAATTTGTGCAATCCGTGCTCATAATCTTGGATTGAGGAAAAAAAAAAGTAAAAGAAAAAAGACCCAACTACGACAACAAAAACAACTTTCAATTACCTGCGCCATTTTAACAGGTCTTGCTGGTGGCCATACACGAGAATCCATTTCCGGGGACACGTCACGTGCAAGTGTCAGGGTGACGTCAGCACAGGCGTGGTTCACCAGCTCCCAGCTACGAAGTCACCTGACCAGTGCCGTGAGCGAGTTACAGTCTGCTCTGAATAGGATGAACGAGGCCTGGGATGGAGATTCGGGGCGCGATGACCGAGGTTAGTTGGCAAATGGCACTATGTTCTTTTTTTTTTTTAAGGAAGGCAAATCTCAGAAATGAAAAGAGAGGTCGTTTATAATTTCAGAGCAGGCAATTATGCATATGTTCCCTTGAACAATTAGATTCTGAGCTGGAGATTTCTATCACGCATAGAAAACGATAGAGTATAAATCTACTAGTCGTTCAAAACTGAACTAGAAAATTATTTAAATCCTCTTCACAGGCACTTCGAAAACGTAACGAAGCAACCGCCATTTCATTAACAACCGCACACTGCTAGGCTACTCACAAACAGAATAGATAGTGAGTTACGCAGCCAATAACACAACGGCATTCGTGGTAGAACGTCATACTGATATTCACAGAAAGTTTTAAACCGGCACTGGCCGCTTTTAAGGCTGCTATGAATCACCAGAGCGTTTATACTTGTTCAGTTTTACATTATGTTGATTCAATGCTTTGTCAAGACGACATGACCAAGCTTGTTCCCAAGTTTTTTAATTTATTTTTCTCCTTCCTCTTGATTTTGAACTCATGTTCATTCTTAACTAGTGAGACAATCTCAGATACTGCAGAGTGTAATTTACGGCTCCGATACAGTAGTCACCTAGGTCCTCACCCATGCCGTTCTCTCCCTTGGTAGTCAACTAATATGAGCGGAATATCAGCGGACAAAAAAACTTGATAAGACATAATCTTAGCAGTGTGTATGTTTCATGTTTATGTTTTCTTTCAAGGCTCAAAAATAACTTACGATTACCGTTTGTCGAGACGGTTTTGAAAGTCATTGCGGCAAATGTGACAATTGTGCTTTTCACGCCAACGTTTTCAACTTGATACTTTTGTTTTCCTGAGTCGCCAATGTGTGCAACAAGGTACCTTTGTTTCCACGAAAATATAAGAAAGATGTGCATTTTTTTGCTCACTGCTGGAGATAAATGGAAAATAAAAGTGAAATAACTGCTGAAAAGTCGAATAGGAACGATTTTGTTTTATTCCAAACGCAAATTTTCATTTCACCGATGAACAAGAACTAATCTAATTATCAAATAGTCACGTCCAGCTACGGAATAGTGCGTTCTTATTTACATCAAACTAAAATACAATGCTATCGNATATATAGTTTTCTCATGTTTTCAGGAAACCAACGTAAGTATGACGCGTTTTGCGTAGTGCACTCAAGAAGCTACCCCACCTAGCCCCTCCTTCCTGCATGGCTAATTGATTAATTGAAATTAATTAATTAAACAAACATTAAAGTTTACACCTTATGGCATTAGTGCTAAGTACATTAGCGAACAGCACCCCCCTAAACCATCCCAATAGTGCACTCTGCACTAAAAACTTGAACTGACTTCTTCACAACACTTTTCAGATGGCGGAAGCAGGGCGCTTAGTCCTTCATCCGGGAACAGTATAATTGCCGCAGCCAGGAACGCATATAGTAAAATCATCTCCGGTCTTCAAACGGAATTTTCTGGCCGGGTGATAGGCGAAGAAGCTTGGCACGAGAGATACTCTGGGTTCAGAGGAGAGCTGATGGCGCTGTTAGGCTTGGGTCTACAGCAGTGGTTATCCAAAGGTCCATCTACTGGATTGGCGTATATCTCCAGTCAGGTAGGTAACAGGGAATTTGTAATTTTAATTTATACGCGTGCATGCGCTACAGTCTTGGGGAACTGAGTAGATTTTGTGGTCGGTGGGCGCGCGCGGGCGCTTTCCATTCAATGAAAAATTCTGGTTTAAATTTCCGGAAATTTCCAGTTACGAATGGAACATCATTTTGCGGAATTTTCAGAAAAGGAGTCAACCTTACGAGGTGTACCGAAATTGTCGGAAATTTCTCACCGGGAATTTTCGTTCCATTTGACTTTCCTCCTGGTATTTCCATTTTTCGAAAATTCAACAATTTCTGGATTTCTTGGAAACTTTCCAAGGAAAAATTTCCCGGGAAATTTCCACTTGTCCATTTGTCCCCGTTTCTAAATTTTCGAAACTTTTTGTTGAATGGAAAGCGCCCGGTGTCACACAGAAACGAACGGGATACTTACGTAAAATGAGCTTGGATATATGTGACTGGCGAGCTTGAATATATGACTGGCGAGTGCCTTTGGTTTCTTGGCGTGTGATAATGTGCCATTCCATTTTTTCTTATCTACAGCGAACAATTAGTGCTCTTCAGAATCACATCCTGGGCTTTACTCAGCGCCTTCACTCAGCCGAGGTTGACAGACGTTCATTGCGTCTTGAACTCTCAAAAAGCAAACAAGAGACTTCTGAGCTAAAGAGTGCCCAGTCTTCCGCTGATTCACAGCATCGTAAGGCAAAGGAGGAAGCGCGAGGTCTGGAGGAAAGACTTCAGGAGATGAAAGAAGAGGTTCGTTCGTTAAAAACAGTTGTTGAAAAAGGACTATTTAAGTAATTAAAACCAAATTCACCGTAGAGCCAGTTAAGACACAGCAAATATAATAAAGACAGAGGCTGAACAATTTGTCCGAGAACATGTCAGGTCTCCTCTTTTTTTCTCTACTTGATTACTATCATCTGAAATTGATTTATCGTTTCGTTATTGTCCAGTAGAGATGTACTTCGTAATCTGGTTTGACCAGGCAGTGCGGCCGACAAAAAAAATATTCTTGGTGGTCCGGCTATAACACTGTGTAAGCTAGGAGCAAGACGAGACGGAGTAATTTGTCTGTTTCGTAAAACCAGAATCAAAGTAATCACGCTAGCCAATCATAAAGGACACGGACATTACAAAAGACAAAAAAGTGGCTCGAGTCTTTTAAGCCAATCGTGTAGCGTAGTTGCAAAACCAATTTTTTTTTAAAGAATTACTTTTCGACACTCAAATGAAAACTGCTCTGTTACATCTAGATGTTATCCATGGTCCCTGTGGCTCGTTTTGAAAATATTTGCGAGGAGCTCAACAATGCCTTGAAACGGGAACAACAGGCCCAGGCCCTGCTTAACGAGCAGACGGCACAGATGCAAGAGATGGGCGAGCGCCTGGAACTTCATACAAATCAGGGTGAAGAAAAGGACGTGACGCTCGCAGAAGCTGTCAAGGTACAAACAATAGCTCTTTGTTCAGACATTCCGCTTTAGTTTGTGATCACTGATAAACCGTTAAGATGGAAATCATTTAACTATAGAAGACACTCTGGGCTTGTCACGCAGTCTTTCCCCTGAAATATTGCATGACGAGCCATACAGGAGGCTACCAACAGTGGCTGATTCCAAGGAATGACTGGCGAGTTCAATCTTAGCCGTTGTCATTATTTTGTGTTCTTGGTCAAGACACTTTACTGTCAAGGGCGTGATTGTTCAAAGCTGTGATAAGCAAAACCAGGATTATCTTCAATTTTGACTTCAGTCTTAGAAACTTTCAGTGGGCGTCTTTGTTTGCATTCCCCAGCTTTAACATTGCCTAATCTAAAACTGCTAAAAACGAAAAAGGTAAAATACTAAATATACAAGGGAAATTGAACGTCGATCGCCTTTTTAACCTGGAAAAGAGGTAAACGGCTGTCCACAAACCCGTCCCTGCAGTTGTATAATTGATAATGGTACCTGCTTTTAATAGCGTCGCACGAATGAAAAGTCATCTCAGTTTCCTGTTATTTACCTGCTCGGTTTCTTCGGTTCGTTCACTACGTCTCCGTGCATTGTACTAGTAACCTCAATAACTCAGTATTTACTGGAAACGACTATTTGCTTGGGTTATTTGGTAGGGTCTGACTGAAGCCAAGATGGAGCTTCGTCGTAAAGAACACGCCGTCCGCCAGGTCTCAAAACAGATGACTTACATGGAGAACGAGAAGAACGCTTTAGTAGACAGACTGAACGATGCTGAGAAAACCATGACGGCTGCAGCTAGGTAAGGGCTAGTTAGTTAGGCTTTAATTAATGTTATCAACGATCGAGGGAACAGGTACCGTTTTGGAAAATCTCCGTTAAAACGCTTGACGAGTTTCCGATTCCTATTATCCAATCAAAAGCTGGGACGATCTCTCACGAGTACTCCGAACACAGTCACGTGTAATAAAGATCACGCGTTATGACGATAACGTTATGTTGAAGAACAGTGTAAGTGAAAGCTGGCTCACCTCGCGCCAACGCCCCGTCGGTTACTGAGGAACTGGCCGATCTGAGAACGATGGTAGATTGATTGTTGATCTATTTAGCCTACACTTGCCTAATCTCTTCGCAAGTTTTTCTCTTTTTTCCCGTTTTCCAGAAGTAAATGTCATCGCCAATTGCGTTTGTAGCAACCTAAGTGTGAAATGCAGACAAACCAAACCCCAAAACGGTCTATTTTCGTTTGTGAAAAAAAAAAACGAAACAAAAAGACAACCAACCAACCAACCAACCAATCAGGCAGACGGGCAAACGGACAGATTGATAGACAGAGAGACAGACAGAGAGACAGACAAAACACATCTTTTTCTGGTACCAGTTGTATGATCCAACACTGGGAAATTTTCTCCGCTGCAGAGAAAAAGAAGCCTTGATGGGTTATTTGAAGTCAGTCGACCGGGCCCTGGAACAGAGTAAAGATCAAGTTCGGCTCTCGAAGGGTGCACTGGGACCGTACGAACAATCTCTTCCCCAGATTATCCTTCCGGACGAGCGGTTAGCCATGGACGGGTTAAGCCTGAGCCCCGAATTACTCTCCTGCCAGGTATCGAATGTTGGCAAATCTTGTCTAATGTAGTAATACATAGACACTGACTCGTACTTGCGTATCTCTCAGAGATTCGTGAATAACAATCGAATCGAGATCGACTTGATTATACAACTATTTCGTGATTGTAGAACTATGAACTTACCTGCTTTTCAAGAACTTGGGTGGGTGTTATCGCCAGTACATTTTCGTAAGCCGAGTTAACAACTCGTAAATAACACGGCGATGTCTACCTCGTTTTCCCTAGACTGTTAAGAGTCTTTCTATTTCTCAACGCACGCGAAGGAAAAAGCGAGCGCCAGGGCGAAGCACGAGGGGGTGGGGCGGGGAAGCGAGCCAATCGAAGAATATTTATCTCGGTCCTCACCTCCTACCCCATCAAGTCTCCCATTTGGCGCTTGCGTTCAGCTCTCTCGCGATTCTACCCGCGTTCAACAATCGAATTAAAATTCGAGAAAATAGAGGGCTGTGAACAATCTACGTTTTCACCGCCAAAATGATATAGAACGTGACATTACGAAAAGTATACCGTATGTCTTTTAACCAATCAATTGTCTTATACTTCTTGGTGCCAGCACGTAGTTACATCATTTATCGAGTGTCAGCAGCAGGCATTGGATCGTATTTCCGAACTTGAAGTGGACAAGCAGCAGGCCATGTCACGCGTGGCGCACTTAGAAGAGGAAATCATGTCACACAAGGCACACATAGCCACACTGAAGAATGAGCTAGCAGCTGCCTGCAGGAGACCCATGAGTGATGACGGGCTCAGTGATCATGGACATTACATTCCTGGCGCGGTCAGTTGTTTATGTTGTTTGTCCTTCCAATTCTTCACTCTGAAAAGGATCAGGTCAACCTTTGAATTGTCGATCTAAGCTAAGCTCTTGTCCAACTTCGCAGTAATTTGTGATTATGTTATCCTTGATTGCGGTATTTTGAGATTCTGTTATCTCATGTCATGCCATTGTAGGCGATTCTGTCACATTTAAGGAGCTCAATCACAGTATTGTAAGTCATTTTGGCCACGTACAAAGTTGCCTTTAAATTGAAGGAAACCTGAAAATAATAGTTAACTAAGAAAGAAAAACACCGAAGAGATAATAATAAACCATAAAGAAACAACGATGTTGGGGGTGGAGAAGCTTGACACGGATTACAAACCAAGAACTTGAACAATTTAGGCTGAACTTTTCACGATACGCAAACCGTGACGTAACTCCTTTAAACAGGTATTGAAATCAAAGGATGGTTTAAAACGTTTTAAAACAAAGCAGAGAAATGAGATCGTGAATAGTGAAGCGGTGGGTCAAATCGTGTCTTGATATGATTGACAATACAAAACAATTTTCCCTTGTTTATTTTAGGAAGGTTATCCCGGGAAGGACGCATCGCTTCATCGCTTTTCAGAATACAGAGATGACGATAACTTAAAGAGCTTCATTCCTTTATCGTAAGTATGTTACTTCTGTCTCTGTACATTATCGTCTTGGCAGGAATTCATTTAAGGATTGTTCTTTTCTCTACCATATAACAAAGGAGCCAAAAAAATGAGTAGTGAACGGGGGCGTTAAGCCGCGTTATGAGGTCCCGTCCACAGTACGCCGGAGAAATTTGAAAACGCAGCTTTATTTCTACGGTTAGGCCTACCGTCCACACTAATCCGTCACGAAAAGGAAGCTAGTCGAAAACGCTCTTCAAACCCGAGGAATTTGAAAACGCCGGCTTTGCGTTTTAGTGTGGGCAGAAAACATTTTGAAAACGGAATTTTTCGAAAACGGTGACATCACGATAATCGTGTGATTTCCCAGGCCGAGTTTTCCTCAAACACAAATCCAAAATGACCGGTTATTGTTGCGTTTTCAAATTTATCCGGCGTAGTGTGGAAGGAAAACATTTCGTGCCATTTCAGAGTGAAAAAGCCGTTTTCAAATTTCTCCGGTGTAGTGTGGACGGGGCCTGAAAGTTCGAGGAATTAAGGATTTATAATACTTGTGATATTTGAAAGCTAAGGATTTTTAAAGCTGTGTTCACATAATTGAAAACTATGCAGATGTTTTCAATACCACCTTGCTGAAGCCGGAGAGAGGAGCATTCCTTTACGATTAAACCAAACACGAATTCATAGCTTTTCATCAGAAAACACCCCCCGTTGTACTTTATACACGGTTTGTACGGGGTCTGGAAAACGTGGAAAGTCCTGGAATTTTATTGTGGCATTTTCCAGCACTGGAAAGTCTTGGAAAAAGGCTACTGGTCCTGGAAAGTTCTGGAAATCTGTTAAACTCAAGTAAAAATATGAAATGTATGGCAGACAGTAAGGAGAATTAACATTGAGATCACGAGAGTGAAAAGGTTAATGTGAATTTTAGAGTCCTGGAAAAGTCCTGGAAATTTTTTTCTGGAAAGCGTACGAACCCTGTTTATAGCCTTTTAAAAGGTTTCCCCAAAACAGGTGTATACTGGGTAGCGTTTATTTTCAGCCAGTTACCATCTATAAAATGCAACATGTTTCATGATCACCTTCGTGAAAGGTTAACAGGTTTAGTAACCAATTTGACTCGTTGCTTATCGCAATTAGTAGCTCTTCGCATAAGTTAAGACACCTCTAATTTAGATGTATCGAAAATCACCGTGTGTAGCCGGCCATTGACGCATTCGTTTTAGATAAATTCATTGTTTTTCCTGACCAGAAAAGAACTTAGTCCATTAAACTTCAAAAAGGTAAACTCCCTCTAATGAATGGCATTTATTTGTTGTAAGATTAGCTCGGATACTAGGTTGCACCACTGTACATTACCCTCTTATCCCTTCACAATCATTATCACGGTGAAAGGTTAAAAGGTTTCAGAAACAAGCGCAGTTCATATTATACACACACAGGGACGGCTACGTTTTGTTGGGCCCTACACAAGATCTTTGCGTCGTACTCATAATTTACATTGTTAAAGCTCGTTTCACGATTCTGAAGTAGTTTGATATAAATCTTTCCTTTCCCGTCTCCAATCGATATGTTATTTAGTGTGTCAGTTGAAAGAATTCTCTCTGTAATCTGGGACAAACCAAAGCCTTTCGTGAACTGCTCACCTGAAGGAAATTTTTGTTGTTTCATCATTCTGTTGGCTGATTTTCGTATTATTCGCACCTCACAAACGAGAAGAGCAGCATTCACTACCTGATAGGTATATTGACATGGAAACCATTATTAAATGACAGCTATTGTGAATTTGATCTATATTCCAAGCTCTGATACGGACTGATCAAGCGCATCAGTAGGAGAGCCTCTTTTATTGACTCTTAATTGGCATGTGCGTCTGTAAAAAATTCCATACGTTTACTGAGCACTTGCCTGATGCTTATCCATTTGATACAAACATGTAAAGACCCTTAATCAACCAGCCCAACAACACTTCACAATACTATATGGTAACCATTAGACAGAAACTTAAACATAACACAGCTTAGAAGAAGCTGGCAAGGTTTGTTCAGTCTTGAACGTTTTCAAAGTATTTCCTGTAGCCCTTGATCATGTCTTCTCGAAGCTTGTTAAAGGATCGAGGAACAACTCTTGGAAGCAGCCACTCGACATACTTCTTGGAGATCCATCCATTGAAGTTATTGTTGGTTAAGCCGAACACTTTACAATCATCTGGTGTTATGACAAAGAAATTTCCCCCATTAGTCGCTCTCACAAGACCACCTTCATTCTCGGGCTTTGATGGATGAAAGGCATTTTTCTCGATCACAAACAGTGACTGCTTGCCAAACCAATCAACCTCTTTGGCCGGTGGAATGAACAAGACGAAACCTCGATCCTTAAGCGGCCGAGATGCGATTGCCCGCATGAATGTGACGTACCCACCACTGTCAGGGTAAACTTCCAAAGTGGTATGGTCCTTGAAAGCTTCATCCCATTGGTTACGAATTTTCCGGTTTGATGGGTGCAACAACTGAACGAAACTCTCAGCAAGCATCGGCATCTGAAAGGTGAAGAGGATCTTAGTGGGAACCTCTTTCTCATGGAAGGTTTTACTCCAGTAGGCTACTTCGGGCCCCTTATGCGCTTCACCCCATCCGTTGCCTTCATCCAAGTCTTGTTTGAACTATTTGGCTCTTTCAAGTTCTTCCTCGTACGTGAAAGATCGGAATGAGTCCTCTTTGCATCGTGTAACCATGAGAAGAAGAAAGAAGACAGGTTCAAGTCTGTCTTCCCTTCGCATACCCTTCCTCCTTTGCGCGCCTGTTAGTAAATAAGGCCCTTGGGTACAAGTTGACCGGCTAAATTTACTGGCCTGGACAATAAGGCAGCGAAAATCTCAATAGACGCGTACGCGCGACAAAAGGTCATGACAACTCATGACGCTTATTTGATCTCTTACAGTGATCTCAACCCGGCCCCATCAACTATCACCTCAAAGAAATGTCGAGCTCATAATCTACTTATTATACGTGCGATTACAGCACAACTCCATCCTCCAACCAAACTAACTCTCATGTTACGTCATCATCTCGTTCCAGGGCTCATCGTGATTCAAGCGCATCTTTCAGACCCTCGTTAGCTTCGACCAGCGGTCATCCGGACAGAAGCAAAGGCAGCTATGGCAGGTATTTCAAGTTCTTGTTGCAGAGATCGTATTCAAGTGAGCCTTTAAATTGAAGTTTTTTCACTTGGTTATCAACAGGAATTGGGAGGCGCGGTGGCCTCATGGTTAGTGCGCTCGTCTCCGGATCGAGCGGTCCGGGTTTGAGCCCTGGCCAGGGACATTGTGTTGTGTTCTTG